ATCTATCTTCTTAACCAATGAAAGATTCAGGGATTGTGAAAGAGATAGAAATGTCAGAGATGGAGGGTGGGCAAACCAAGTACAGAAGTAGAAATAGTGAGAGGGAGAAAAAGGAAAGAGTTAATTAGAAAAAAAGACAGAAAGGATAAGCAATGTGAGAAATTGCAGTTTAAAGTAACAAACAAATGTTAAATATAGCAGGGTGATTGAGAGTGAGCTGCTGTTTGTGCAATCCAAATTATTTACTATAATTAATCAATCATAGATTTGCAACTCAGTCCATACCACTTCTCTTGAACTTCGAAGCTGATTTGTATCTTAATAACGGCATTCATTGTAAACTTGGCCTTACTTTCTGGGGAAGATGTGGACCTTTTTGGCAGCAATCCTTTTCTCTTCATTCCTTCCTTCCCAAACACCATAATTACCATCATTGTTATTTTCTCAAGCTTCCTCCCTTGCTTTTCTTTTCATAACACTAAATTCCAGACCTCTTACAGCATTCACAAAGGCAAACTGCAACGGAGCACAGACAATTTTCCTACTGTCACTAGCACCAATCAATAGAGGGTACAAATACCATGACTCTATACTGAGCAAATTGGACGGTGGGGGGTGGAGGTCACAAAAACAGAAACTTGCACAGGCAGTTCCTAGGTTGACAATGGTCCCATTCTGGAGTCCAGTCATAAGTCGATTTCTAAGCAAGTCAGAACACAGTGCAGGACAATGCAAAGCAGCTGTTTGTGAGTGCAGGAACTACTCATATGTCAGGTCCTTAAAATTACACTCCTGTACGGGATCACATTTGTAAGTACAAGCATTCATATGTTGGATGTTTGTAAATTGGGAACCCCCTGTAATGCATGTAAAACTTTCTCATAACTTAGTCATGGGTTAGATGAGAGAAAGAAACAGTATGGCAATTAAGGGACATACTTAAAGACTTACTCAGAGATACATTTTATGGAGGATTTTGAAGTTAGAGAAATACCACTGGACAGATTTAATGGACTAGAGAAAGGAGTGCAGGAACAGGAAGCCTTGACTAAGGATCTAAAGGCCTGAGCTCAACTCCCAGAACAGCAGCTAGAGGACTTCAATTCAGTTATTTAAACAAATATGGAATAAAAAGCCAGTTTCAGTAATGATCGTCATAAAATTATTGCATTGTCACAAAACCGAACAGGTTCGCTAATGTTCTTCAGGGATGGATATCTGTCATGCTGATCTGGCATGAGTGCAATTTAAGACTAACAACATGACTGGCTTTTCACTGCCTGTTGAAATGGCCCAACTAGTCACTGAATTCTATCAATCTACATTTCATATAATAAACACATGAAGCATTCCCACAACCAACAGATCAGATCAAATTAAAACCAAAAGAACTGTGGATGCTGTAAATCAGAAGCAAAAAAAGAAGTTGCTGGAAAAGCTCAGCAGATCTGGCAGCATCTGTGAAGAGAAATCAGAGTCACCATTTTGGGTCCGGTGACCATTCCTCAGATCAGATCAAAGCTCTATTGTCCTGTTATATTCAGTCATCAATAATGATAGATAATTAAACTGATAGCACATTATCAAAATGGTGAGTAATTATAGAGCTCGGATATGCAGAGGGATCTAAAATGAAGACAATGATGGCTATTGATAGTAGATGTATGAAAACTACTCTCACTGTTATGTCTCTATGGGGCAACAAGTACATGTTCTGAGCACCTTTGAGACTAACCTTTGAATCCATCCCAGACATACATTTTTAACCTTCTCTATCTGCAGTTAGAGTCATAGAGATTTACAGCACAGAAAAAGGCCCTTCAGCCCATCATGTCTGAAACCACTTAACTAATCTAATCTCATTTTCCAGCATTTGGCCCATTGTCATGTATGTCTTGGTATCGCAAGTGTGTATCTAAATATTTCTTAAATATTATGTGGGTTTCTGCCTCTACCACCCTTACAGGCAGTGAGTTCCAGATTTCCACCACCCTCCAAATGAAAAAAAATTTTCCTCACATCTCCTCTAAACCTTCTGCACCTCACCATATATCTATGCCCTCAGTCATTGATTACCTCCATCAAGGGGAAAGGTTTTTCATGTCTACCCTGTCTATGCCCCTCATAATTTTATACATCTCAGTAATGTCTCTCTCAAACTCCTCTGATTTAAGGAAAAGAGCCCCAGTCTTTCCAATCTCTCTACATAACTGAAATTCTCCAGTCCTGGCAACATCTTGGTAAATCTCTCTGCACCTTCTCCACCACTTTCACAACCTTTCTATAACATGGATTCCAGAACTGCACACAATACTCTAGCTGTGGTGTAAACATTTTACGCAAATCAACAGAACTTCCCTGCTCTTAAACTCTTATGCTTCAAATAATAAAGGCAAGTATACTATATGCCTTCTTAACCACTTTATCCACGTGTCCTGATACCTCAAGGAACCGACATTCATGCACACCTAGATCCAACATACATTCACACCTAGGTCTCTCTGATACAGCCGTGACATGATGTCCCAATTCCTATACCCAATGCTCTGACCAATGAAGATGCTTCCCAGGTTCCTAACATTCATCATGTCGCACTACTTAAAATGATGTTGGTCAATTTCAAATCAATTCCTGATGGAATCATAACTAAATGTATATCTTTGAACAAGGTGAGTCTGATTTTCTTAGTCAGAAGTCACACTACACCAAGCCATAGTGGAAAAGGCTTATTTGAAATCACAAGCTTTCGGAGCGCTGCTAATTTTTCACCTGATGAAGAAGCACCACTTTGAAAGCTTGTGCTTTCAAATGAGCCTGTTGGATTATAACCTGGTGTCATGTGACTTCTGACGTTATCCACTCCAGTCCAACACCAGCTCTATGTCATGGTTTCCTTAGAGAACAGAAGGTTGAGAGGAGATTTGATAGAGATATACAAAGTGGTCTGGATAGAGTATGTAAGGTGACTGTTTCCATTTGTGGAAGGATCAAGAACAAGAGAACATAGATTTCAGATAATTGGCTAAAGAATCAATGGCAACAGAGAAACCATTTCACTCAGCTAAAGGTTAGGGTCTGAAATATGCTGCCAAAGAGTGTGATGTAGATATATTCAACCAGGGCATTCAAGAGGAGATTGATTATTTGATACAGGAGAATACTTCCGCAGCGACCAATGCTGGATCCACTATCGTTTGTCACTTATGTAAACAATTTGGATGAGAATATAGGAAACATGGGTAGTAAACTTGCGGATGATACTAGAATTGGTCATAAAGTGGACAGTGAAAAGGTTATCTCAGAGTACAATGGGATTTTGATCAGCTGGGCCAATGGACCAAGAAGTGGCAGATAGAGTTTAATTTAGATAAATGTGAGGTTTTGCATTTGGGTAAGACAGACCAGGGCAGGATTTACACAGTTAGTGGTAGGGCTTCGGGAAGTATTGTTGAATGGAGAGATCTCGGGGTTCGAGTACATAGTTCCTTGGAAGTGGAGTAGACAGGGTGGTGAAGAAGGCATTGGGTATACTTAGATATGCAGCATGAAGCTGGAGGAACACAACTGGCCAGGCAGCATCAGAAGAGCAGGAAAGTTGTCATTTCGGGTCGGGACCCTTCTTCAGAAATGGACATTTATGCTTGCCTTCATTGTTCAGACCATTGAGGATAGGAGTTGGAACATCATGTTGCAGCTGTAGAGGACATTGGTGAGGCCACTTTTGGAGTACTGTGTACAGATCTGTTTGCTCTGCTACAGGAAAGATATTATTAAATTGGAAAGGTGCAGAAAAGATTTTACAAGGATGTTACCAGGACTGGAGGGTTTTAGTTATAAGGAGATGCTGTATAGGCTGGGATTTGTTTTTCTGGAATAGTAGGAGATTGAGGGATGACCTTATAGAGGTTTATAAAGTCATGAGACACATAGATAAAGTGAATAGCGAATGTCTTTTCCCTAGGGTAGGGGATTTCAAAACCAGAAGGCATAGGTTTAAGGTGAGAGTGGAAAGATTGAAAAAGGGACCTGAGGGGAAACTTTTTCACACAGAGGTGTTTTGTATATGAAATGAACTGCTAGAGGAAGTGGTGGGCAGGGGTGCTGTTACAACTGTTAAAAGACATTTAGAGGGGTACATGAATAGGAAAGGCTTAGAGGGATATTGGCCAAATGCAGGCAAATGGGACTAGTTTAGTTTGGAAATCCTGGTCGACATGGACGAAGTGGAACAAAGGGTCTGTTTCCGACCTGTATGACTCTATGACTCTATAACAAGGGATTGGCACTAAGTAAATTGCTTCCACAGAAAGCCAGTGTGGACACAATCGGTCAAATAGCTTTCTTCTATGATGTAACCATTCTGTCATTCTGCAAAACTGATTCCGTCAATGAGAGCTCAATGAAGGTGCAAAAATAGAACCCCACTGTTAGTTCTATAGGTTTTCTGTTGTTTCCTTTTTAGATTGAAAGATTATAATGTTTGTGATCAGTTTAAATAGCCATGAATGGAAATACATTAACAGGAATAAAAACAGAAAGTGCTGGAGCTGTGCAGCAGGTCTGGCTACATCACGTTGAGAGAGAAACAGGGGTAACATTTTGAGTCCAGACTTGAAATATTAACTCGGTTTCTGTCTCTACACAATGCTGCTAGACTTGTTGAGTTTCTCCAGCTCTTTCTGTTTCTATTTCAGATTGACAGCATCTGCAATACTTTGCTTTTATTTTCTGCATTAAGAGGATATTGAGAGTAGTTTTCAACTTTGTCATATGGATGGTGGAGCAAATCAGCTTCCTTAACGAAACCACCTAACTCTCTTGATGGAATGAAAATTGGGCTGGTTCACCAATGAGTGGAAGATCTGTCCAGTAGTGATGATCAAAATTAACTCCATTGAGTACTGTCTACTAGGTGGTTGGCACTGCTTTCCTGATCTCAAAGGGATATTTCACACTAAGGTATATTTCTTACTAACACTGTTTTTTTTGTCTTATTGTAGATCACCAAGAGATCAGCCATGCCAAATGCAACAGTTGAACCAAATCTTACAGACGTGACTGCGACTATTCTTGTCAATGAGACTCACAACCATAAGGAACCCTACTTACATAAATTAGCACACCTCGATGAAGCACTCTACAATGATTACTACATCCTCTGGCTTGCCTTAATGATAATTAATGTTTTCATATTTGTAGTTGGCATTGTCCTCAACAGTGTCGCATTGTACGTGTTCTGTTTTCGTACCAAGACCAAAACAACATCTGTCATCTATACCATAAACCTAGTAATCACGGATTTGATGGTGGGTTTCTCCTTGCCAACCAGGATAATAATTTATTACAGTGGTGGTAAATGCCTGACATGCTCTTTTGTGCACATCTTCAGCTATTTTGTGAACATGTACTGCAGCATTCTGTTCCTAACCTGCATCTGCGTGGACAGGTACTTGGCTATAGTCCAAGTGGAAGCTTCACGCAAGTGGAGAAACCCTCACTACGCCAAAGGGATTTGCGTTTTCATCTGGCTATTTGCCATCATTGTCACTTACTCTATACTCACCACAGCAATCAAGTATGCCTCTTGTTGTCTGTCTAAGCTCTTCGCTCTGACAGTGTTTGAATACTTTTTGCCTTTAGTGATTATCACAGGGTTCACCATTAGGATCATGTGTGCCCTGGCCAAGCCAAATCTTATGCAGCAGAGCAGAGAAAGACGCATGAGGGCTGTCCAGCTTCTGGTCACTGTGTTGGTTATTTTCATGATCTGCTTCACACCCTTTCATGTCCGCCAGGTTGTGGTCTACGCAAATCCTAAACTGCCCCTTCACATCAGCTTAATAGTGTACCACGTTACAGTGACCCTGAGTAGCCTCAACAGCTGTTTGGACCCTATTGTCTACTGCTTTGTCACTAACAACTTCCAGTCCACTGTGAGGAACATCTTTGTCAAGGTCGAGCCTGAACAGAACAGCGGAGAGGTAATCAGTGTACAAAAGAGCTCTAAGGTGTCCACAGGAAAGACAGTAGTTTCAAGCATGATGATGAATGGTCCTGCATTGGACAGTGAACAGTGAAGAGACAACAGCGACATCCATGCAGCAAAAGAGGACTTTCATGTCTCAAGATTATGCTGTAACTTTGCTTTGTACTACATTTTGTGCCTTGATGTTCATAATACATCATTTTGTACAGTTTGGTGAAATTTACTCAAGGTGTCCTTTACCAGAAGAATGGAAGGCCTGGTCTTCTTTGTTTAGGTAACGCTCCATTAGTTGTAAGACAATCTGGATTTGGCAGATAAAGGAAAGAGAAACAAAGCCTTAATGTTTGGTGCATTAGTTTACAAGATGGGACAGAAACCCTTGGCCCTAGACCAAAATACAATGGAAAATCTTTGTTCTTCTTGCAAAAGCAAAAAAATGTGGTTTCCAGTGTTTATAGGTCTGTCTGCTCTACCTTTCCATTCTTACAGCGTCACCTCTAGTGATGTATGTGTCTGACTTGCCTGGAAATTGTTGAATATATTTTGTGAAACATTCTCCAATTTGTTAACTTCAGACTTGTGCCTGAAACTTTATGTAGATATAAAATAACCACAGGAGTTATCCTTGGGTTGATAAGATATAACTTTCAGAACTCTATTTTCTGGGAATACCTCTTCTAGGGACTCAGCATTTTAATATATGGTATAAAATAATGAATGAATTCAACTACATTACATTCAATAGATTGTTTTGGTTTGACAATTTGAGGCATTGTTTGTTTAAGCTACGCAAGAATAGGAATAGATTTGAAGTTGGGTAGTTTATCTTTCATTCAAGGGGCAGAAGGTTTTGGAATATGTTGCCGGTTCATGAGAGCTCTCTACATGCCTTCAAAAGGGATCCAACTCAATTCTTGGCCTTGTGAAAGTTTATGGCACTGGCTACATGTGATATTGGTGGCAATGTGGGGACACATATATTTGACAACTGCTAATCCATCATTTCAACACCCATTCCCTGAGCTGTACTGAATAATATGGTGGGCAACTTATCCATCCCACATAGGCCCATTGGGACCCTTAGCTGATACTTAATGTTACAACAGCTGCAATTTTAACATTCTGCCCTATTTTCAAAGCTAACAGTTTGATGTCAGCCAAATGAGGCACCGGATTTAACTGGTTTAAGTGGGCACGTAAAAGCCCAGGAAATAGCCTTAAATGTGATCTCAGGAGAAAGCACTTCATTTCTACAGCTGTTGGTCTGCTCAGTTACTCCCTAGCCACAATCTTTAATGCCCATCTCCCCAGTAAAGCCACTGCTCTTTCCCAGACTTGTGTTCCGTCTGCGATCACTCCATTTTAACTTTAACTGGGACACAGACTTAAAAGTCTTGTTACACAACTAGTTAAGTCATTTGCCATATGATCTGGGTGAATACTGAAAAAAAATACTTCTCATTATCTTCTCATAGTTTTTTTTTGTATTTTGCTGTTCTATGCACTTTAAAATACACTACCAAAATTTTGAGCTACTGATATTGTTGGGCTAAGATTTCTTTGTGTTCCACTCGGGGCCTGATATACACATTCAAGCCAAAGGACAACGTTTATGGAAAAGGATGCTTTTCAGATTTGGTATACAATGATATACCGCGGCGTTAATCCATTACATGGCAAGTATTTCATTGAACAGTGAGATTCCCTTATTCTGTTGTTGGTCTTTATTCAGTATTCTTCTGAGGCAGGGAAAATTGAGTGAACATAAGATATGAGCAAGATAATTAAGTCATTTTAAGCAGTGATATTGAGTGTTTTTAGCTTTCTATTTGTAATACAATGGCATAGTCACTGGATGTTTTCCTAGGTTGTGATAGAATAGAGTTGTGAGTGTTCTCATTGAATGTTTTTAAAGCAGAGGTAGATAATTTCTTGACTAATAATGGACTCAACGGTATCAGAGGTAAATGGGAATGTGGAATTGAGGCCGCAATTAGATCAGCTGTGCATTTATTAAATGGTGGAGCAGAACTGAGTGAATCAAATCTCTGCTCCTGCTCCTAATTTGTCTGTAGGTTATCGATTATGTTTCCCAAACCTTCAAAACAGGTTTGTAAATTACTTGTAAATACACAGCCCATAGGAATACCCTCTCTGATGCAGTAAGAATGTGTGAAACTAGCTGATGGATATGGTTACACGTTTTATTATTGTGTGTCCAACACAAATTCCGTTACATTAAAAATGTAGGATAATGATTCAATTGAAAGTATTGGTGTTGCCCTCTTCTATTTTTCCTGCCAAGAAAGCAGTCTGTTGGAACTGCAAATATATCTGCAACCATTCCCAATACAGAAAGTGCAATTTAGCTAATTCAAGATGTTAGTTTCACCTATCATCATGCTCCTGCCATTGTGGGCACTTGTTTACTATCCAGTGATTCATTTATTGGCATATTTGAACATTGACAAAACATTCTTAGGCCTTTGGGTGGCACAGTGGGTCAGTAGTTAGTGCTGCTGCCTCACAATGCCAGGAACCCAAGTTCAATCCTAGCCTCAGGTGTCTGTGTGGAGTTTGCATGTTCTCCCCGTGTCTGCATGGGTTTCCTCCAGCTGTTTCAGTTTCCTCCCACAATCCAAAGATGCACAGATTAGCTGGATTGGCCATGCTAAATTGCCCATAGTGTCCAGGGACGTATAAATTAGGTGGATTAGCCATGGGAAATGCTGGGTTACAGGGATAGGGTAGGGGGTTGAGTCTAGGTGGGATGCTTTTCAGAGAGTCAGTGTGAACTTGTTGGGCCGAATGGCTTGTTTCCACACTGTAGGGATTCTACGGCCTTGTCTTATATCTAAATGTCCAAACTGGGCAGCCAATTAATAATGTAAAAGTACAGTTCATGGACTATTGATGTTCTATTATTAGATACCATCAGCAATGAATAGACAAAACTACGTTTAGAAACCGTGCTAAATTTGTCAAGGTGAAAAACAACATTTGCCTTCAGCCCTCACAAATAACTTCACTGTTTCAATGGTTTCTAACTTTAGGGTGTATTAAACAATGGTACTCATGAACAGCAATGGTTAAGGATGTTTATCTACACACAGCTCTAATAAGCTTTAGAATCTAGACTTCTTACTGACAAGAGAGATATGGATATTTGTAAGCTTTCCAGCTGACTTAAGTGACATGTGTCAACGTTTTCACCAATCTGATTCCTTCACTCCAGTGAGGAATTCCTGGAATATGAGGCATGTGAAGCTAAATAGAGTTTCACAATCACCCATCTGCCAAGCTGCTTAAATGAGGTTTGTGTATTCTGGGCATTTTGAGATGTTTGCATCTTCGACGGAATAGGAAAGCTAAAGTCGCCACAATCCCACTCTCTCATTAAAGAGGTAGAGGTTTAATCTGAGGGTCACCACATCTCAGGCATGGGGGGACATCAAGAAGGAAAGTCCTTCATGGTAACCTCAGCTGCTGTGAGGACTGAATGTACATACGCTCTGAAACCTGTTGTCAGTCAACTGAGCTAATCTCAGACTGAATAATGGGGAAGTAAATGCCATCCTGTTTTCATTATCACACTAGTCGGCTGAGAATATGCAGCATTCCACTCAAGTACTATAGCATAAGTTATTAAAATTTTTTTTTAAGCTATCACTGAAAATACTAGAAACCTGAAATAAAACAGCAAAATCTATAAAGTTCAGATGGCTTCTATTAAGAGAAGGCAATTAAGACTCTTCAGAGCATTGTAAATGTGTTGCTTATTGCCTCGTGGATAATCTCCATGCTAACATTTATATGAAATAAATTTGTGGCAGAATATAGTCTATGAGGATTTATATGTTTCAAGTAGATATAACAACATTTAATAATCTTAAATTCGTAACGATTACATTCGTTAACATCTGTACATAATCTGTAAAATTCGTTTGTGAACTATTAAAACTGAGATCACAGGAAACATACATGGAGAAAAGCAGTGATTTATTTCTGATTGGTCAGCAACATGCTATGCTTTTACAATAACTGTGTCGACTAGAAACATTTGTAACATATTAATTATTCATGCTGCAGCTCTTTGCAAATCAGGTTAGACTGCAGACTGCCATATGTGTTCTGCAGTTTATGTATTCAACTTTAACTGTTGATCAAGGAGCAAGGACCTTCTTCTGTGATCGCTACACCACGTGGCATTTAAAGGATATTGTTTGGGACCAATGTACTTGATGTTTAAGTACTTAACATGTTTGTTGCCCATTTATGTGTGCCAATATTTTGTCAACGTATGTACATATATATATTCATTTTTCTATAATCTCCCCAATTTCTATGATATGAAGTATCGGACATGTTGGAATGATAAAAAAAACTCACTGTGAGCTTGGCAAACTCTGTTGAAATAAAGAGAAGCCTTTATTAATAGCAATGAAAGTCTCCAGCTTGGCTTAGTTGGTTATGTGTCAATGTTTGAACATTTTAGATTCAAGTCTCACTCCATGGAAACTGAATTTTAGTTGAAACTGAAAATCAGCCACCGTTCCTGTAATTCCAGGGTTTGAATCCTGCCATGGCAAACGGTGGAATTTGAATTCAATGAAAATCTGCATTTAAGATGGCCATGAAGCTGTTCTTAATATGAAAAACCTACCTGGTTCACTAATGTCCTATAAGGAAGGAAATCTGTCAACCTTAATTGATCGGGCCTTCGTATGACTCCAGCAATGTGGTTGACTCTTAGCTATCTTCTGGGCAATTAGGAAGGGGCAATAAATGCTGGCCTAGCCAGTGATCCCCATATCCCATGAATTAATTTTAAAGAAAATTCATTACCTGCCTTTGAAAAAGAACAAGTGCTATTGATGCAATGTCACTGCCAACGTTCCTCCCTTAAACAACATGAAACTGTAATCAATTTTCCCCTTTTATTGAATTAAAGGGAGTAGGTGGGAATCAGAGCAGCCATGATATTGTTGAATGGTAAAGCAGGCTGGAGAGGTCAAAAGGCTTACTCCTGATCCTAATTTATATTATTGGATATTGTCAAAATGCTAGTACTGTAAGTTGCTAAATTTCCCAACAAATGCTCCTGAATTACTACGTGTACAATTTCAAAAGCACTTGACCAGTTCATCAAAAATTCTACAACAGGGAATGGCCATTGGTATAAGAACATCAGGTATATATTAGAAGGTTATATGTATACATGGTTAATACATAATTGAATTAATTAACTCCTTTTTGTGTTGGCATTTCTTTCAAGGGAATTGAGATTTGATCCAAAGCATCTAATGGGTAGTTGCATTGTCTGCATGCCAATAAAAGGTGGTTAAAGTTTAGATTGGTTAAGTAGTTCAGGCACTGACCAATTCTGAGCCTCAAAGAGGGAATTTTGTGGGCAGGCATTAAACCATGCTTAGTAGACTCTGTTTGAAGCATAATAACCGAAAGAACTGAGGATGCTGTAAATCAAGAACAAAAACAAAGTTGCTGGAAAAGCTCAGCGGGTCTGGCAGCATCTGTGAAGAAAAAATCAGAGTCAACGTTACAGGTCTGGTGACCCATCTTCAGAACGTTCTGAGGAAGGGTCACCGGACCCGAAACGATAACTCTGATTTTTTTCTTCACAAATGCTGCCAGACCTGCTGAGCTTTTCCAGCAACTTTGTTTGAAGCATAACCATTTCCCATTCTTAACAGAAGGATTTTTTTCATCACTTGTGCCTTTGCAAGGAGAAATTGTATTTTTCTTTCGTGTAAAAGGTGAAATATTATTAGCAGAGAGATAAAGAGGAATCTGCCAAGCAAGCAAGCCTGATTATAACTTATAAGAAATACAGTAATGACCTAGGTTCCCAGAAACATTTACAGTCCTATTGCACTAATAATTCAGACAATTCTTTTTCCAAGAATTGAGTTTTTTTTCTGGATGCTCATTACTTCCAACTGCTGCCAACCTCAGACTCTTTATAGGCATAATATTTCCACACCAGCAGTGAGCTATTACTCTCTCTAACTATATGGAGCAGAGAAAGGTAAAGACATAGACCTACAGACTTGGAAGTTTCAAGGTTTGGCTATCAGCCAGAAGAGTATTCAATTATCTTAATTGAGCTACGATCGGAGCCATAATAATTGGTCTTAGTGGAGTCTAAATTTAACACTATTAACCCAAAGTTAAAATTTGCATTTTAATAATTCCACGAAGATTAAAATAAAAAGTTTGGGAACATTGACTCCAGTGCATGAAGCAACAACTCTGCATCATCCAGTGGTGGTTAAAGTTGCACTTAAACATCTGCATATTAAATGATGAAGTCCTGATATTTACGTGGATTGGAAGAGAAAGCCTGGGAACAAGCATGTCAGTAAATAGTTCCTGGAAAATCTGGGAATGGGAAGGCAATTCTGAATTGAATGATAGAACCTCATTGTCTGTTTATTTTAATTCAAGTTGCAGTACTGCAGTGGCCAGATTGGTGAGGGATATGTGCTGGGGGTAGTTTGCTTGGCAAAGGTTGTGGAACATTAGGCAGGGTTCAGACAAGTGATCAGGAAGGAAAGATCAGAAGGCTTAAGGCTTGGGGTTGCCAATTGTTGGGGGTGATTGGGGCAGAAACTTGGTTTGAGTCATTGTGAGATTCACAAGCAGCACTACAAAAAGAACTTAGCCTGCTGGATCCAAATATTCTCGCCTCTCTTCAGGTGCTGGATTTCTCTCACCCTAGGAAACCCATCCAGCGACAAATTAAATTTTAATCAGGTTCCCAGTGTGACAGCCTGATGCAAATGTGATAATGGTTCTTTCTGCTTCTCAAGAGCACACACGCCTCCTTACAAATGGTGACAGCCACATTCAAGATGCATTGGTATCACGTGTTATGGACCAGACCAATACCCCTCAAAGTATATTAAGAAGGTAGCCTAGACCTTAATCTTTTGTTATTTTAAAGGCAAGTGCCAAGCATTACATTCTGGATGCAATTTGATTGGTCAAACTACCAGTCTTGAAGGAAGACACACTTTATTCATACACTATAGTTAAATTACAAACAAAAGAAAGAAGAATTTGGAATAACCTAACTCTATTAGAAAAGGTAACAGAATAATAGATTATTTAACTATTACACTGTAATAATTCCAGCACAATAACACCCCATAAACACACCCTCACAAGCAAATCTCCAGTCCAAGAGGAAAAACATCAAGAGAAAATGCTAAGACAGAGAAGCAGGAAGAGATGTACTGTTGCTTCCAAACCCAGCTTCAAGAGCCCAGCAACTGCAACTGAAAAATTAAAACTAAAATTCCTGGCTTTGAGGACACCACCCTTTCGGGGTGCTTCTATTGTTCCAATTTTTTTTTAAAGAAACACCAAGGCAACACAAGCTGTTTATTAGATTCACAAAGATAGCTCTGTCTTAAAATCTTTCTTCAAAAAAAAACAGCAGGACAAAATATACCTCTTAAAGCCGTAGCATCATCACACATGTTACGGAATTTAAAATATTCAGTCTGCTCCCAAACCTCTCCTGCCTATCACGTACATGGTATGAGGACTGGGGCAAGCAGTTGGAATTCCCCCTTGCATAAATATAGTAATGGAACTTTCACACCAGAAGCTTATATCTTCCTGTGTTCCATTTTTTAATGTTGTTAATATATGTACTATAATCAATGACATGAAACTATTCCACAAATAATGGCTATGTGCTGTGTTGCTGAGTCTTTGAGCTAGATGGAAAAGTTTCAAGCCATTCACTAGTCAAGTAGTTATGCTCTTAGTCAAGACCAGTTTCTTTAAACAAAACTGAATTTCTGGTTATTTACTAAAAAAGTGAAGCAACAAAACTCCACAAGTTTAAAACAAAATAAATTTGAATATGCAGCAGTCAAACAAAGCAAAGAATGAATATTACCTCAGCTTGCCCTTATACATTATAATCTAGAATCACAAAATTTTATTAATTAATTAATAGGCAGATCATGATCCATTCTAAATTACACATTAAATGGTAGAGGCGACTTGACCTGGGATTGCATTCCCCAGATATGTCAAAAATATCAGTCAGAGTTCTTCAAGACTCTAGTCTTCCTGAGAAAGATTTTCAGTTCCTCTTCTTTTAGGATTTAGCCTAATCCCAAGTCACAACCAACCCAAGTTCTCATAGGCACAGCCTTCATTAAAAATAGCACATGCCCGCTGAACTTCCACAATTCTGTTTGCAATAGTTTGAATGGTGTAACTCTGCAATTAGGGGAGGCAATAACCTAATGGTATTACCACTAAACTATTAATCCAGACATCTGGGTAATGTTCCAGGGGCTTGGGTTCAAATCCTGCCATGGTGGATGGTGGAATTTGAATTCAATAATTAGAGTCTCATGATGACTGTGAAACTGTTGTCAATTGTCAGAGGGGAGGAAAAAAACTATCTAGTTCACTAATGTTCTTTAGGGAAGGACATTACCCTTACCCTATCTGGCCTACATGTGACTCCAGATGCACAGCAATGTGGTTTATTCTTCTTGGCTGTTATTGACAGCCAATATATTTTGCTTATTCTCAGCTTCTGGATCTAGTCTTCATCTTCTTCAGCCTGCATGTGCTGCACCATTGGAGTCACCATCTGAATTCTAATGGCTTTGTCTTCTCTTATACGCTCTCAACCAGTTTTGGTCTCCTTAGAGGTTTTAGTTTCCAATCTCAGTTTCGACAGAAAATGGAAAGGTCAGTAACATTCTGAGTTTTGAATTTCCAGAAGGTTTGTGATAAGTTTCCATACGAAGGATTATTAAACAAAATGAGAGTATGTGGGATTGGGGCAATATACTGACATGGATTGAGAATTAGTGTGCAAACAGAAAACGGAGACTAAGAATAGATAGAGCATTCTCAGGATGACAGGTGCATGCAAGGTAGCTCAAGCAGACTGGGGGAGGATAAGTCAATGGACAATCCATGGTAAATGGATTAAAATGTGAACAAGCATGAAGATATCCAAGTTGGTAGAAAAAGCCAGAAGACAGAATATTTTGCAAGTGGTGGGAAGTTAGAAAGTCTGGAGTGTTCAAAGAAATCTGGGTGTTCCATGAGTCATTTAAAACTTGAATGAATCAATAGGGAGGTCAAATCATCTTCTTCTAGTTGATGGCCAAGTGGTATTATTGCTGGACTGTTAATCCACAGGCCCAGATAATGTGCTGGGGACCTGGGTTCTAATTCCACCATGGCAGATGGTGGAATTTGAATTCAACAAAATATGTAGAAGTAAGAATCTAATGACGACCATGAATCCATTGTCAATTGTCGGAAAAACCCAACTAGTTCACTAATATCCTTTAGGAAGGGCAACTGCCATCCTTACCTTGTCTG